AAAAAAAAAAGAAAGAAACTATCAGTGCTTCTTCCCTTTTACACTCCTGCAAACAATTTGTGAGAGTTTTGGTTGCTCTACATCCTTGCTAACATTTGGTATTGTCAGTCTTAAGCGAATTTTAGCCATGCTCCTGGATGGGTAATAGTATCTCTTTGTGTTTTTAATGTGCATTTTCTGATGAATAATGATGTTGAGCACTTTTCTTGGGCTTATTGGCCATTCATATATGGTGAAGTTTTGTTCAGTCTTTTGACCATTTTAAAAATTAAATTGTTACTGAGTTGTAGGAGCTCTTTTTATTTATTTATTTATTTAATTTTTATTTATTTGACAGAGCAAGAGCGAGAGTAGGAACACAAGCATGGGGAGTGGGAGAGGGAGAAGCAGGCTTCCTGCCGAGCAGGGAGCCCGATGTGGGGCTTGATCCCAGAACCCTGGGACCATGACCTGAGCCGAAGGCAGACGCTTAACGACTGAGCCACCCAGGTGCCCCAGGAGTTCTTTATGTACCTTGGATGCCAGTCCTTTGTGGGATATATGTTTTGTGAATATTTTATCCCATAGGACTTAGTTTTTAAGTACTTTAAAAAAAACAACAACAAATACTTATGGAGTACTTACTATGTGTTGGAATACAGCAGTTAACAAAATATACAAAAATATTTCTGCCCTTTTGGAGTCACTAGTTCCTCCGTACAGCAAGGAATACTGGTAGGAAGGTTCCTTCAGTGATCCAAGAGATGATGGCTTGGGGTGTTAGCAATGAAGGGGGTGAGAACTGTTTGGGTTCTGGATATATTTGAAAGTAGTGCTGACTAATTTGGAGTGTGAGAGGGAGGAGTGACTCCCAAGCGTTTTGGCCAAAGGAGGTAGAAGGATAGAGTTGCCATTTATTGAGATGAGGAAGTCTACAGGAGGAACAGGTTTGGGTGGGCATGGTGGTAGTGGTGGATTAGGAATTCAGTTTTGAGTATGTTGAGATGCCTATTAGATACCTATATGGCGAGATCAAGTGGGCAATTGTGTATATGAATTTGGAGTTCAGGGAAGAGGTGTGGGTTGGAGATACGAATTTGGGGTGAGGATGATCAGCATGTAAAACCCACTGTTATACTGACAGTGGGACCAGAAACTGAAGAGAAAAGGTACGGAAATCACTAATTTTTAAAATAAATTTTATGGGGCGCCTGGGTGGCTTAGTCATTAAGCATCTGCCTTCGGCTCAGGTCATGATCCCAGGGTCCTGGGATCGAGCCCTGCATCGGGCTCCCTGCTCCGCAGGAAGGCTGCTGCTTCCTCTCCTACTCCCCCTGCTTGTGTTCCCTCTCACTGTGTCTCTGTCAAATAAATAAATAAAATCTTTTAAAAATAAATTAAAATATTAGCATCTTTTAACTATAGTAGATTTATGAAAGCTAAAATACTAATATTGGCACATTCCTGTTAACTGCAGTTCAGACTTTGTTTCACCAGTTTGAAATCACTAATTGTAACTGTAAGATGGAAATTCAGAAACATTTTATGAATCATTTGTGTAAGTTTTTGACTGCTTTTTCATCTCCCTTCGTAGAACTAATGGCTGAAGAGTAAACCAACATGGCAACTATGGTTCCACCAGTGAAACTGAAATGGCTTGAACACCTCAACAGCTCCTGGATTACAGAGGATAGTGAATCTATTGCTACAAGAGAGGGAGTTGCTGTTCTGTATTCTAAACTGGTCAGCAATAAAGAAGTAGTACCTTTGCCCCAACAAGTTTTGTGCCTCAAAGGACCACAGTTGCCAGACTTTGAGCGTGAGTCTCTTTCAAGTGATGAGCAGGACCACTATTTGGATGCCCTTCTTAGCAGCCAGCTAGCACTAGCGAAGATGGTATGTTCAGATTCCCCATTTGCTGGGGCACTTCGGAAACGACTGCTTGTACTCCAGCGTGTCTTTTATGCACTTTCTAATAAATACCACGACAAAGGCAAAGTGAAACAGCAGCAGCATTCTCCGGAGAGCAGCTCTGGTTCAGCAGATGTCCATTCTGTTAGTGAACGTCCCCGGTCAAGCACTGATGCACTTATAGAAATGGGTGTTCGAACTGGTCTAAGTTTATTATTTGCACTTCTAAGACAAAGTTGGATGATGCCTGTGTCAGGACCTGGTCTTAGTCTTTGCAACGACGTTATTCATACTGCAATTGAAGTTGTCAGCTCTTTGCCACCATTATCTTTAGCAAATGAAAGCAAGATTCCTCCGATGGGTTTGGACTGCTTATCACAAGTGACAACATTTCTTAAAGGAGTAACTATTCCCAATTCTGGCGCAGACACTTTAGGTCGTAGATTAGCTTCTGAGTTGCTACTTGGTTTAGCAGCTCAGCGAGGCTCTTTGCGGTATCTTCTTGAATGGATAGAAATGGCTTTGGGGGCTTCAGCAGTTGTAAATTCCATGGAGAAAAGCAAACTACTATCAAGCCAGGAAGGAATGATCAGCTTTGACTGCTTTATGACTATATTAATGCAGATGAGGCGTTCTTTGGTATGTACTATAAATCTGTCTTTAATCTGTAATAAATACCTCATTCCTCTTTGGACTTCTTTTATATACTGCTCCCCAATACCAGGAGTTAGGGAGGAAAAGAGTTAACCTTTGTTGAGTGCCTGCTATACTAACCAAGTGCTTTATATGCACTGTCTGATTCAATTATCATGTTAATATGTGAGGTAGATATTATTTATCCTTACCTTAAGGATGAAGAAACTGGTAGTTATCCTAAATTTACACATGTATTTGGCAAAAGAATTGGAGGTAAAACATATACTAATTAAATACTTATGGGGCAGATGCTGTGTTAACTAATTCTTACAACCCCTAGTCTGTCTGCAAAGCCCATGTTTTTTCTGACTATGTGGCTTTTACTGTATTTGTGTTAAATTGATTTATTTTTTCCCATGAAGGCCTACCTTAAAGTAGATAAAATATAATAAAGTAGTAAAATGTAAGTTTATATTATTGTTGGATTTGTAGTTTTCTTTCCATTTGCCTCTTCCATTCTGGGACAAATATACCTAGTCAGAAGGGGTCTCCCTCCATAGCCTCCGTGGTTATACCCTATAATATAGCTCTTTATTGTGGTGAGGGTACCCCAGAAAACTAGATTGCTCTCCACAGAATTCTGGATCTATTCTGGGGAAGAATCTTGTATATTTGATTTAGTTTGGCTCTCCTAAAGTCACCACAGGCCTATATTAGATTGAATTTAATTAAATCTCAGATTGGCTTTAGGGGAAAGGAATGATTATTAATTGAAATTTACGTTTATTATTCCTTCTTGCACAGTAAGTGTTGAGTCTAATGCTCTTGGTCTCCAGAACCCACATTTCTTTCTTTTTTTTTTTTTTTAAAAATTTTTATTTATTTATTTGACAGAGAAAGAGACAGTGAGAGAAGGGGAGTGGGAGAGGGAGAAGCAGGCTTCCCGCTGAGCAGGGAGCCGGATGCAGGACTCGATCCCAGGGCCCTGGGATCATGAACTGAGCCGAAGGCAGACGCTTAACAACTGACTGAGCCACCCAGGCGCCCCCAGAACCCACATTTCTTATACTTTACAGTGTTGCTGAGATTTTAGAAAATAGGGGTATCCTCTCCTGGTACTCTGGACTCCAACCTGACCTGATCTTCCCTGCCTTAAGTTTCTCTACCCCTGAACAATTGGGGCAAAACTTACTCCCAAGCTAGAAGTTAAAGGGAGAGACATATAACCATCAACTGAGTACCTGATGTAAGGCCTAACAAAAATGAATTCAATCCTTTATTTTTATTTACTTGTGTGATTCTTAACTTTCACTAATGATACATATGTAGTAATTGTGTTTGAATGGGAGTCCACAAAATACTCATTAACTTCTATTTAAATAAAGAGCAGGGAAATAATGTCAATGTATATCTCTGAATTCTGAAAATAAACAGCAATAAAAACACCATTGGCCTTTGCCAGTAGGTGTTTATTTAGCACTGTGTGCCAGATACTGTTAGGCACTGAGTTTAAAAGGTAAAAGAGGGGCGCCTGGGTGGCTCAGTTGGTTAAGCGTCTGCGTTCAGCTCAGGTCATGATCCCAGGGTTCTGAGATTGAGCCCCACATCACATCAGGCTCTCTGCTCAGTGGGGAGTCTGCTTCTCCCTCTCCCTCTGCCTGCCGCTCCCCCTGCTTGTGCAGTCTTTCTCTCTGTGAAGTAAATAAATAAAATCTTAAAAAAAAAAAAAGGTAAATGAGCTTTGTAGCATCTATGCCCTCAGCCAGCTCACAGTTTAAGGAAAGACAGATGCACAAACATTTCAAATAAATGATAATGGGCTGTAGTAGAGGTCTGCAGTGGGAGGAGATGGGACACAGGAGGAGAACTGGAGGGAAGGGGCAGAAAATGCCTTGTGGAGGAAGGATCCCTGAGCTAATTGAAAAGTAGGAAGAATTTGCCTACAAACATGAAGTCTGTGAGTGTGGGGAGCTGGAGAGGTTTTCAAATGAGAGGACCAGAGTTCACAAAGTGACCAGGGTGTAGGAGAGCAAGCCCCTGGATGGATGGGGTAGAATGGGATGAGGTGAAACTGCCAAGTAGGCAGGGCCTTGTATCTTGTGCTATGGGGTGTTGAGGCTTGTTTCCGTAGGCAGTGAGGAGTCATTGAAGCAATTTTGAGTAGAGTAAAACCAGATAGCAAGAATATATGGAAATGTACTCCATCCAGTCTTACGTCCTTGTCAGAATATCTTACAAAGACAAATGTGAAAAAAAAAAAAAAGTTATAACATTATTTTTGATGGTAGGTGCTTAAGAGAGGGAGGTAATTAAATGAAGACCTGTGAAACCATGAATTTATGTTATCTTAATTTCCACTTATCTTTAGACCATCGAAATTCCTATGTTAAATATATATATGTACTATAAAGTTTATAAAGCTTATAAACTTTATAAAGTTATATATTTAATGTACTATATTTTCCAAAATATAGTTTCTTTAAAAATACCTACATGTAGTATTGTTTATTTACATTAAGAATTCTGTACAGAATGGGTTTTAGAGAGATTTTTAATCCTTACTGGCTGCGGCTGGAGTAGTCTTACCCTTAACTACGTTATCCCCCCCTTTATCCTTGGGGACTATGTTCCAAGACCCCTAGTAGAAGCCTGAAACTGCAGTTAGTACCAAACCTTATATGTACTATGGTTTTTCCTATTCGTACATACCTAAGATAAAGTTTAATTTATAAATTAGGCACAGTAAGAGATTAAACACAACAATAATAAAATAGAGCAATTATAACAATATACTGCAATAAAAGTTATGTAAATGTGGTTTCTCTTTCAAAATATCTTATTGTACTGCACTCACCCCTCTTACGATGTGAGATGATAAAATGCCGATGAGATGAAGATGAAGTGAGGTGAATGAATAAGCATTGTTAACCTAGCATTAGCTACTATTGACCTTCTGACTATATGTCAGAAAGAGGAGCACCTGCTTCTGGATTGCTATTGACCTCGGGTAGCTAAACCACTCAAAGTGAAACTGTGGATTTGGGGGGGTGGGGAGTACTGTATTGACTGTATTGGGAAGAATAGAAATAAGTGACAGTGTTTGAAGGATGTTTTATTGGTTTGGTATTTTTAAATTTAGCAAGAATTTATTAAAGATTTCTTGTATTTTCTTTCTCTGTACACGTGATGCAAATTAATAATTACTGCTACCAGTTTTGAGTTCTTAACTGTACATTAGAAACTGTGCTAAGCATGTTTTATACATAACTTTAATCTTCCCAACAGCCCTAAGTAATATGGGCATTATTCCTGTCTAAGAATAAGGAGACCTAGCCTTCATTCACACATTCAGTGAGTGATGGAGCCTGGATTTAAACCCAAATCTGTCACTGAAAACTTCATGCAGTTTTCAGCATTTTCCTCCATACTGTGGAAAAGCATGAAAAGAGGGATTCTGATGGCTCTGGTACCAGCTCCTAGGAAGGCATAGCAGGCTGTTGTTACACATCTGCTTTTGATTTGGTGATCACTAGAGGTGGCCTTTAAATAATGGAGCCACAGATTACAATTGTGTTTTTCTCAGAAGTAGTGCACAGCTAATTATGGATTTGTAGAGTCTGTGCCCCTGAGTATTTGCTGGTATGGCAACACTTTGTATGTCTAGTACTAGTTAATTTTGAACACTCAGCTTCTGGTATGACTCCAGACCTTACAAGTGGCTCTCTATGGCCCTACTACTCAAAAAGTGAGCCTCAGATGGCAGCATTGACATATCCTGGGAGCTTGTTAGAAATGCAGAACCTTAGGCCCCATCTATATTTACTGAATTTGAATCTGTATTTTAACACAGTCTCTAGATAATTTATGTCCACATTAAAATTTGAGAAGCACCACCTTAAACAAATAAAAAGAAAAATTGATTTGGCAGCAGCAGGTTAGTACCTGATACACTAGCCATAAATTAAATAGCCAGCATATTCATTTGTTTCATTTCTTGGGAATCATGTTAATTAAAATAGTTTGAATTGATAAAATCATATAATCTTAAGAGTTAGATGGGATCTTACAGGCATCTAGGCCAACCTCCCTTCCATAGTAGAAGATACACTTTTCTATGATATATCTGCCAGTTTATCATTTAGAATATAAATATTTTTACAGTATAGTATGCATTGAAAAAAGCCACTGATGAAAATTTCACAATTATAGGGTTGCTAAATCAGAGAAGGAACTTGACATTTGTGATCTAAAGATTTAAGGATTTGGGAATTTGAAGGAGCAGTGAGATCAAGTTCACTTTCTGGTTTGTCATTTGTCAATGACAGAATGATTTCTGGTCACAGCCATTGGGCCCTACTCTGGAGAGTCTCAGAGAGGTGCTGTGATTCCTCAACTATGATGGGAAGAAGATGCTTTGTTGCTAGTGTAGTCAGGTAGCTACATGAACTGATTTGTGGGACTTCAGTTTTACTGAAACTAAGAAGGAAGGAACGGACTTTCTGCTGCTCTAGTCAAGGTCGTCACTCAAGCTGGCTATGTTCTACTTGCCTGTATCCTCAGGGACAGGTGGGCAAGGCAGCCCCAGGAGAGTAGAATATTTCCGAGGGCCTCCTTTACTGGATATTGGCCACCCAAATAATACGTAATTTGCAAAATTCTGCCTCCTTGTCTGTTTCCAGGTCAAGCCCAAGACTGTTGAATAAAGTCATTGAGGGATTGACACTTAATTTACTGTTTCACTCTATAGCTCCATCTTTTGTAACACTTCTGTGTAAAAGTTGGTTTCATAACCATGTTAGGATTTGATCTTAGTGCTCATACTCATATATACAGTTCCTCAGATATTTCCGTGGAATATTTAAGTGATTTTAATACATGTGTCTCTCTCCTTCTGAAACTGTAGGGTTCATCTGCTGATCGGAGTCAGTGGAGGGAACCAACCAGAACATCTGATGGCTTATGCTCACTCTATGAGGCAGCTTTATGTCTCTTTGAAGAGGTATGTAATAATCATGGCTTTTACATTAAAAATTACTTTGTCATAAAATGCTATAGCATATATTTATCCCTTAAAAATAATTACTCAGTGTTTGGAAAGGATGCAGAAGAAAGTAGCATCAGGGTTTGCCCCTAAAAGTGGAGCTAGGGCGTCTGACATCAGGAATGGGAAAGAGACATACTTTTCAGTGTATACACTTTTATTCATTTTGAGCTTTGTATCATGTGCAGGTAACTTTAAAAATTTTTAAATAAAAACAGATACAGAAAGACATACAAACAAACGTCAGGCTTAACAAATTATTATAAAATAAATAGCCTTCTAATCTGTACCCAGGTAAAGAAATAAAACTACCAACGATTCTAAATGGCTCTTTCATGTCCTGGTCTTAACCCCTGTCCTTCTGCCCTAAGCAACCACTATCCTGACTTTTAGAGTAATCACTTCCTTGCATTTCTTTATCATTGTGTCACCCAGGTGTGTATTCCTAGGCACTGTAGTGCAGTCTTGCCTATTAAAAAAAAGAGGGGGGCGCCCAGGTGGCTCAGTCGTTAAGCATCTGCCTTCGACTCAGGTCATGATCCCAGGGTCCTGGAATTGCCCCGCATCTGGCTCCCCACTCAGCGGGAAGCCTGCTTCTCCCTCTCCTACTCCCCCTGCTTGTGTTCCCTCTCTCACTGTGTCTCTCTCTGTCAAATAAATAAAATCTTTAAAAAAAAAAAAAGATGTCTTTTAAATCTGTTAATCTATAGGTTCCCCTCCATTTTTTTCTTTCCCTTCAATGTTTTTGTTCAGAACCTGGGCTTTTTGCTGATTGATTACTCATACTCAGTTCACTATGTCCTATTTATTTCCTGCAAATTGGCAGGTGGATCCAGAGGCTTAACCTGAGGATTGATGGATCCTAGGTTTGATCCCTTTGGCAAGACTATACATGGTGTTGGTGATGACCATGTTCATCAGTTTCCTTCTGGTTGTCTCTCTTATTGTGGTATTAGCAACTCTTGATGCTTAATGACTACATTTATTAATTCATTGGTTGCAAAATGGTGATATTTTAATTGTATCATTCCTCTTTTATTTATTCATTGGAATGTTTTTATAAAGATGATTCCCTTATCAACTATTTGGTTACTCTGCTTCAGTTCATATAAGAAAGACTGAATTAAATGCTTGATTATGTCTGTCTAATTTTTAAAAATTTTAACACTGATTTTATATACTAGTGTCCAGTTTAATGAATTGGTCTGTTATCTTCCAAAGTAGACCAGTTGATTTCATTTGAAAAATATCATTATGAACCCATAGACTTAAACCTGTTTGAATTTTAACCCATTAAATTATTATCTATAGTGGAGCTCATATTGTTTCATCTTTGGCCAGTAGTCTTTAGGGTAGTCTCTTTAGGGTGGTTCCTGAGTTCTTTTTTTTTTTAAAGATGTATTTATTTGAGAAAGAGAGAGTGCAAGCGGGAAGAGGGGCATAGGGAGAGGAGAGAGAATCTCAAGCAGAATCCCTGCTGAGTGTGGAGCCCCACATGGGGCTTGATCCCACGACCCCGAGATCAT